AGAGGTGGCCCCCCAAAAACTATCAGCCCCAGAGACGTAAGTAGGCATCTAGTTGAACTCATGTCAAGCGTTGAAACAAATAGCGCATTATTTAAACCATTCCTTGTCCTCTTGACGTTTTTTTCTGTGACCAATCTTGTAACTCATGTCGTTGCAATGGCCGTTATAAAGGAAACAGATTTCACTGATCTTCATTGGTGGACCCTCGCACGCACCCTATTTTGGTTTCTACTCGCCATCCGGTTGCTATGGGCGGTTGCTACGATCACAAAAACATTGTCGCGTATCGTACCTCATATCCATTACCTCAGAAGCGTTGGGGAGTTGACAGGAACGAAAGATGAGTGGGATGATTTTTTTCAACTTGCCGAAACCTTTCGGTTCGGCTCAAGGACTTATGGTTTTCCGTTAACCCTGAATCAAGTTGCGAGCATCGTTGCTGTAGTTAATTTCTCGTTTTTAATTGCCTTGTCTTTGATTTCCAAAGCAGAATGAATACGTTGTTATAACACTTGAACATATATAATAAAGGTTTTAGTTTGATGTCAGTATTGGCGTTATTTTAATACATTGGAGGTGATTAAACGGGTTGACAAGTCAACAAGTTATGTTCGCACTGCTTGTCCCAAGTTGTCAACGAGTATGGAACAATCTGCTAACAACTTGTAGCAGCCTTGTTGATATTATCAGACTTGTTGCAAGGTTGTTCCGACAAGTCCGATACAGTCATGATATAACAATATTGTTACAACCTTGTGTCGTCAATATTGTAACATTCTTGTTATATCATGATCGTATCAGACTTGCTAGAACAAAGTCTGATAATGCTATCAAACTTTTGTTACAAGTTGTTAACAGCTTGTTCAAAACTTATTACAACAAACGCTCTATGCTTTATCAATCAGATATTGCCCTTACAGGACTTCCAGAAGAGCTATCAAGTTATCAATATATTCTATAAATTGCACCAGTATTTCGAAATATCCGGTATTACAATCACGGGATATATGCATGACCTCCTCACAGGCAAAGGGTCATAGGCTGTCACACATATTCACACACCATAAAATAAGTATACATATACTCTATTTACAAAAATGTCGCTGGTAAAAAGCTACTACGCCACATACAAAGATGCACTCTCTCATACTGTATTCGTGACACTTTTATTCAACTCTGGAGCGATGTCTAGGACTCGCTTTGCAAGATTCGTGGAAAAGATTGTATTCCTGCTGGTATTTCTTGGTTTGTTATTTATCTCCGTGTTTGCAGTGTTTTCCGCATGGGGTGTAGATACATGGATCAAATTCTCGCTCTATATCATTCCTTTATTCTCCATGATCTGTGGACATCTGATATTCAAGTCTCGCTCGTTCAAAGAAATTTTGAGCAGACGCATCGAGCAGAACGACACTTCCGCAAATGATGCCGATTACGAAACTTCTGAACATGATCGACGGTACTCGAACACGTTCGACAATTTATCCTCGTTTCTTAGAAAGCGTTCACTAAGAACTTGTTTCTACCCCATCAGTTTGCTATTATACCAATGGACACTTTTTCTGATATTCTTTTACGATAAAGGAATCAGCGACTACGTAGGGTCGTTGAACATAAGTGATGATCTGTCGCACTTGACCCGAGGTTTACATTTTGTCATAGAGGAAAACGTTTGGTGGCCTTTCTATTATATATTTTGGACTACGGCTATGTATATTACGGGATTCGTCGCTTGCTGTTTTATACTGGTAGTTGACATTCAAAAGATTGATATAAAATCGTTCATGCGCAAAATCGGCAACGGGCCTCTGATACAGAATTGTAGGTATCGGTATAATGCTAGGGTCACAACTCCGGTCGGGTTTTGTTTCAGCGTGCTGTCGTTGATTACCGGGTTTTTTACCTTCGGACTAGTGGAACTCGCGTCCAGACCTCATTGGGAAGCACGGCAGCTGTCGCCTATTTCAGGATATGACGATATTCAAAATTTAGAGGGCGAGGTTTTTGATAGTGAGTTGACTAGCTCAGTGGGTATTGAAACTGGAAAGGGCTCAAGCTCCTCTGGGAAGGGGGGCGATCCCCCGAAAAGTATCACCCCTAGGGAAGCAAGCAAGCTTTTGGTTCACCTGAAGTCAAGCATTGAACGAAACGGTGCATTATTTAAACCGTTTCTTGTCCTGCTTACATTCTTTTCTGTTACTAACCTTGTAACCCTCTTTGCTGCAATGGTCTATTTAAAAGAAACCGGTTTCACAGACCTTCATTGGTGGACCCTCGTGCGCGCCCTAATTTTGTTTCTACTCGCCATCCGGTTGCTATGGAGCGCTGCTTCGATCACGAATACACTATCACGTATCATACCTCATATCTACTACCTCAGAAGCGTTGGGGAGTTGACGGGAACGAAGGAAGATTGGGATGATTTTTTTCAACTTGCTGAAACTTTTCAATTGGGTACAAAAACGCATGGTTTTCCTTTAACTTTGAAAGAAGTTGCAAGCCTTATCGGTGTACTTAATTTCACGTTTTTGATCGTCTTGTCTTTGATTTCGAAAACAAAGGGACAAGCTTCTCTGGATAGTGATGGGGCTGCCTGAAGAACTATCAGCCCCAAAGACGCAAGTAGGCTTCTAGTTGAATTAATGTCAAGCGTTGAAATAAACAGTGCATTATTTAAACCATTTCTTGTCCTCCTGACTTTTTTTTTCTTTGATCAATCTTGTAACTCGTGTCGTTGCAATGGCCGTTACAAAAGAGATCATTTTCACGTACTTTCATTTGTGGACCCTCGCACGCACCCTATTTTTTGTTTCTACTCGCCATCTGGTTGTTATGGGTAGTCGCTATGATCACGAATACGCTATCACGTATCATACCTCATCTACTACACAGAGTAGAGACATACAGAGACGTAACTAGTGTACCCACTTTTTTTGTGCGCATGCTCGGCAAGTTACTAGATGCATGCATCTGATTGGATGACGACCTGATGACGACTCACTTTAAACTTGCTGAGCACGCACAGTTGATCATTTTTCGCCCAGTCGCCTGAAAAAAAGTGGGTACGTGATAACGTGATCTTCCGCAGTGTTTACAACGGTCAGTTACGTCTCTGTATGTCTTATCTACTCTGTGTCTACTATCTCAGGAGCGTTGGGGAGTTGACAGGAACGAAAAGAGAGTGGGATGATTTTTTTAAACTTGCTGAAACTTTTCAATTGGGTAGAAAACGCATGGTTTTTCTTTAACTTTGAAAGAAGTTGCACGCTCAGTATTGGCGTACTTAATTTCACCTTTTTGATCGTCTTGTCTTTGATTTCCAAAACAAAAGAATGGATTGTCGCTAAAACTGTTTGCTGCTGTGCTGTTTTGAGCGGAAAATTTAGTAGAACTGTCCAGTTTAAATAAATAAAGTTAATTTAGTTTAGGTTTCCTTTTGTAGTAACACTGGTTTCTAGGGAGAACACTTTAGAAAGTAACAGAGCCTCCACAAACAAGTTGTAACAAGGTTGTTGTTGAGCAGTTGTTGTGACAAGTCTGGAACAAGTTGTTGTCACCTTCGTTGTTACAAGGTTGGTGACTTTAGCAGACTTGCTAAATACAGACTGTTCGTAACAAGTTGCTACGAGCTTGTTGTCATCACTTGTTAGCAACCTGTTACGTGCAGACGATATCTGACCTGTTGGAACAGCTTGTTGCGGGTCTGTTGGCCTCGCAACCTTGTTACAAGACGATAACAACTTGTTCCATACTTGTCATAACTGGGAACAAGCAGTGCGAACACATCTTGTCGACAATTAAGCTGTGATATTTTTACACGTGTGTCCCAGTCTAAACAAAGTTAGCTTAGCTTGACTTTAATTCATAAAACGAAGTTTATTGACCTCGCGACTTACGCTCGGTAGCTCATGATCAACTAACCTCTGTAGTGTAAGTACTTGTGAGCATGCGCGTAATTGACATTGCGCATTGACAATTGTTTTGGTTTCGATTTCTGGAATTCCTGAGATGTTTACATATTTTTATCTTTGTCTTTAATATATTTGAATATGAATGAAAATCATGCTGACAAAAAATGTAGACATAAAATATTCTATGACACAAATGAGCAATTCACGTATTAATACATGTTTGTGGCCTCTCCTACCCAATTTTAAACATTCTCGGACAACTCATAAGCCAAGTTGCTGCTGTTCTGATAATGTATTATTTAAGCAAAGAATGCAACAAAATTATTGTAATTCTTTGAAACCGTAATTGTTGCGACCAAACTCACACACCAATGTCACGCCTCGAAATGCTCGCTCTCTATTGGTGGATTTTTGACTACGTGGCCGGAAGTGGGGTATCGAACATTCGATTTATTAAATCACTGTGATTAAACATAGTTAATATAGACTATTAACTATGGATTAAATAAAGCACCGAATGTTGCAATTAAAATTTGTGTTGAAAATACGATCAAAATGACACAAAAATCGGCTGAAAAACCTGTGGTGGCTGCAAATGATAGTTTTAAACCGTTCGAGACGACCACTGGGGTTAAATTCGTCAGCGCTGGGCTAGCAGCTTCTGTAGCAGAAATTGTGACGATGCCAATAGACACCTCGAAAGTCCGACTCCAGGTATTTAATAAATTATGTTATAATATTTAATACTATAACTGTAAGGGTTAAACCTCTTTATATTAGGGTTTTATAGAGGGGTTTTTGAAGCCACTTTCCAGCTTAAATTCGAGCCTTTAGCATGATATATTGAGCACGCCTTGCTGAGATGTTGTTTACATATTTTTATTATGTAATTTTTCATTTCTTTCGGCACGTGTTTTACAGTAAATATTTATATTTCTGATCAATTATTTTGCGCAGAATCTATATCCAAAACGGTTTGACACGTAAATCTGTAATACAAGCGTATTTTAATATCGCTGTGATAGGAATGTTATAATGCTATATTTGATTGCACATTTGAACATTGTTACACTGGTATAAATAGGTTACCATGCCTGGACTTTGGACTATATTCATACACAAATGCTGTATATATCAGTGGCTGGCACAGCCACAGCCTTAAAATTTCTTGTAATTTTACAGCCTATAATCAGGGCCGTAGCTAGATGCGATAAAGTTGTATTGTTGATAATTGGGGGGTATATTTATATATTCATGTTCACATACCGTAAAAACAACCGCTTTCAAAAGGAATCCGTCGGGCAGAACATGAATATATGAGGGTTTAGATGGGGGGTCTGAAAATCAGTAAATTGTAAAAATTTTGGTATTTTAACGGTAACAATAAGTAACATTTTGGTATTTTAACGGTAAATCTTTGAAAAGTGTTCTGAAACGATAAACAGTATTTTTTTCCTTGCGATTCACGCTAAATTTTGAGTGTTTTCACAACTGACGGTAACCGAAATTGAATGAATCACGACTCACAATATACCCCATCAACACCCTTGTATATGAATATGCACCCTCCCCCCAATTATCGGTCTAGCTACGGCCCTGGCTATAATAAATCAAGCTTTCTGTGGAATAGTTCAGAATAGTTTTCGAAAAGCACTTGATATTGGCTCGGCTAATCAGTGTGAAGTTAGTTGAACATCTTTGGCTGATATTGAAACCTGTACGAATCTCTTTGCAAACATGAAATATTCATGTGAGCAATATTAGATAATTTTTATCTGCAACTATAATGGTAGTATGTCTAGATCAATGCAGATAAGCGTAAAATAAATTCTCACTCTTTTACTAGATTCAAGGTGAAAGTGCCATTACTACAGCCGTAACAGACTCCACAGCGCATGTAAAAAAATACAGAGGACTGTTTGGCACGTTAATGACTATAGCTCGTGAGGAGGGTGTTCGAAGCTTGTACAGTGGACTGGTCCCTGCAATCCACCGTCAGCTTGCATTTGCCAGCATTCGGATTGGCTTGTACGACCGCGTGAAGGAAATCTACGGTGATGATGGGAGTGGGAAACATCCAAAAGTATTGACGAAAATTGCGGCAAGTATAACAACCGGCACGCTAGCCGTCTGCCTTTTTCAATGCACAGACGTTGTGAAAATCCGTATGCAAGCGAGCGGGGTGAAGAACGCTCGTTATACTGGCGCCTTTAATGCATATCGTACTATATACATTCAAGAAGGGGTCAATGGCTTATGGAAAGGCTCGTTTGCTAATATTGCTCGTTTGAGTTTGGTTAACGTCTCAGAAGTCGTCGTCTATGATATTATCAAGAGTTTCTTCCTTGCGAGGCAGCTCCTGCATGATAATGTACCGTTGCATTTGGTCTCGGCTTTTGGAGCAGGGTTTGCAGCAACCGTGATTGCCTCGCCCGTCGATGTCGTGAAGACAAGGTTCATGAACTCCCCGCCTGGACAGTACAAGAGTGCACTACAATGTGCAGTGGCGACAATGAAACACAACGGACCAACAGCATTTTATAAAGGGTATAGAAACGCTAATGTACTCTAGAAGAAAAACAAATGCACTGTCAAGTTACTAAAAATATTTTAGTAACCCCTTCTCTATTATGCCTCTACTCTTATTACCCTCTCTCTAATAGATTTGTCTCTCTAATATCCATGTCTCTAATAAGCACCCCTCCCTTAATTAAGCTACTCTCCGTTTCATAAAAAAGTTATTGAGACCCACTAATTGGACTTCCTTGCTGTCCTAATTAACGTTTGTTGTGATTGATGATCGATCATGCCAATTTGTTCCATAATTTTGTCAGTACTATCCATTAAAATGAATATAACTTGAACGCTACATCCAACTGGAAATTTGAAGCCAAACTTGAAGGCTGGAGCCCCGTCATTTCACACATGCAAAGAGTGCCCGATCAGTCGATCATGACATAAACATGTGTGTCTTGACCTCCAAACACGTGTGTCTGGAGGTCAGATTTGGCTTCAAGAAAAAGATGGGCAATTTATCTGAAGGTAGCATTCCAGTTATATTAATTTCAATTGTATCATCTCTCTGCCCCAGTCCCTCTCCTTATCAATATTGTTAATAGCTTCTGACTTTCTTTGTAGATTTACACCGAATTTCATGCGACTCGGGTCATGGAACATTGTCATGTTTTTGACATACGAACAATTAAAAAGAGCAATCGCAGCATTGGCGTCAAGTAGTTGAGTCGTGGCTGAACAAGAAGTGAACAATACTGAAGTGATGGCGAGCTGTCGTGTAGTTAAATTGTGTCTAAACTACCTCAGAGAGATTCAAAACACTATATAGCTTTGATGTTTTGAGTGAAGGATCTTCATCATATTGTATATAAATTAGGGCTTTACTGTTTTCAATCTCTTTTTCAGGTAGTTCAGATGCAAACCAAGGCAGCTTATTTGCAGGGCTGTAGCTAGACTGATAATTGTGGTGCATATTCATATATTCATGCATGTTCTGGCTTTTGCCTGACAGATTTCTTGTGAAAGCGATTGTTTATTACGGTATGTGAACATGAATATATAAAATTCAAATTTTCAACACACACACAGTCACACACACAATTATCGCGTCTAGCTACAGCCGTGCTTATTTGGATGGTGTCTATTAATTCATTAAATGCACACATCAATTATTGGTGGATTTGAACAAAAGTTTGTGCCAAATAGAAATTTCCTAACTAAAGTCATTTGCTGGGCTTTAATTTTCATTTTTAAATTACGCTTTCCACCCGTTGTATCAATCGCTACCTGCAGAACAGTCGAGAATGAATTAAAATCCCAATGAATTTGGAGTGTTGGAATGTCAGTCTGTCATATGGACCTACCATTGTATTAAAGTGGCACAAGAGTCTGACTTAGAAAATATTAATATAATAATTGTGATTTAATTTTACAATAGTTAGCAAATATTTATTATTCTGCATATTTTATCGCATAACAATAAGTAACATCAGGTAGTTGTATGGGGTATCAGGGATTTTAAAGGTTAGGATTTAGGTCATGATTAGGATTTTTAGTCATATGGATTAGTGTAAGGTTTTGGATTACGGAAGCACGGAACAATTTACCCAGGGTCAATTCTTCGTATGGGTAATAATACCGTAGGGTAGTAGGGTAGTACGTTTAATATGCTGGGCATTAAATAAATTTTATGTCTATATTATTGTCTATATGGCTCTTTTGCGTACGTTATGCTGGGCATTGATCTTTATACTACGATTACGATTCCCGCCTGGTTCATCACTTGCAAGTTCCTGTAGTTCATTCCACCCCTCGGGTATTAGACCCTGGGCTTGCAAACTTCCGGCTTTCTGTTTCGATTTTCTAAATTCAACATGGCCGCCTCTTCGAGTAAAGACGATATAAGACGTGCGAATTATGCATCGATTTTAATTTCTGCCTCGATGACAGCAGTCACACATCCTGTCCAAATGACCAAAGTTATGATACAGGTATTTATACGTGGCAGTTTTGTTTTGTACGTGCAAAATACTTCGCTTTCAATGTGGTATTTATAATGTACTTTCAGTCTCACAGACTGTACAATATATGTTCTGTATATGTACATGTGCTTTTTGAAATATGTAATCCAGTTACTTATATGTGCTCTGATAGAAATTTAAAAGTAAAGCCGAGCTTGTCGTAGGAAACATTTCACTGAGGTTGAAAATAATGAAAAATTGTTAGCACATTTTTTACACCCCCCCCCCCC